TTATTGCTATTATTTTACAGAGATAAAATGTCATACATATGTATATATGTATACATATATATATATATACAAAATTGTGAGTTTGTCCTATTATTATTATCATTATTATTATTATTATTCTCGATATTACAGTAGATAAGCGTTGGTAATGCACGCCTGAAATTTTTCTCAAACCTTTGCTCTTAAATGAATAGGTGAGCAAAGTTTCAGGTGTATTGACCCAACACATGTTCTTCATATATCAATGTATATTCAACTTATTCAAGTAAGTGTGTCACTAATACCACCTGTTTATGCGCGAAGACCAATAATGCCAATAGCAGCACCACTTGAACAAATATGCGTGTCAATTAACATATCTCTACATCGAAGGAAAAGCAAGAGAAAGAGACAAAAGGCCAGATATCGATTCATCCCACATATTATTACTAACGATGTTTTATATATTTATATATATATATATATCTGGATGCACGTACACATCTGTACTTATTGTCGGAGATCTTTTCTCTTCGAGCAAGGACTAACGGAAAGGGTAAAGAAAGAGAAAACATCCTGTGATAAACCTTGATCAGAATATTTACAGATGATGAGGAAAACTGCTTCACTTATAAACAAAGTGAAACAGTAATCTGATCAGACAACACTTGAGACATCTTCTCCAGTCATTTCATTGTTTTATCCTATAAAACAAAATCAAATTGCATAATAAATGTTTAAATAGAATATATATATGTCACTGGAACGAACGATTTTTTCATCAGATGAAAGTGTATCGAATTCTTTCCCTTTTACATAAGAGTTGAACGTTGTCCCTGTTGTATATATATATATATATATATGGATCAATATCTACCATCACTTTCCTATCTTATTGATTATTGCATCCGAATCGGATGTACTCTTCCTCTTTCTTTCTCTTGTCCTAATTCGATTAAAAGATAAGCAGATCCACTTGTGTCTTGTGCTCTACTGTACTATATATTGTGATTAGCTTGTTAGATTCTTTTTTTCTTTTCTTGACAATCTGAATCAACAATTCATCGGAAATATTTTCTTAATTACTGATTATTTTATTTAAAGTTTATTTATTTTTTTTTCTTTGTTATTAGTCAAAGAAGCTAATGATAAGTTAAACATTTTGTTATATTAATCAATTTTGCCCTATTGCATAGAATTGAAAAGAAAACGAGACTTTTTTAGAAATTACTTCAACGTATAATACTTTTGTCAATTGTCAAGTATCGTGTGTAGCAAGGAGATCGATAAGACTGTCGTGAATGTCACTAAGAATATCGTCATACTCAAAGAAAAATGTAAGATGAGATGTTCTAACAAGGTCTATTTAATTGTGTAATAACCTTCGAATGAGTAAATAGACACATAACTAAAAGTTTCTTAGTTATTCTGCACACATTATCTGGCGAATGCCTTTTTTTTTTATTAAAAATTTGATTTAAATATTTTGCTTCGATATCGTCACTATTCAATATATTCATCGGATTTTTTTCTATCTAATACGAGTTCGTTACTATTGTTTCTTTTTCTTTTTAAAACATTCAAAAAAAAAAAAAAGTCAAGTCTTCTTCTTTTTCTTTATTATTCTTTACATATGAAAATGATTTGCCATCGTCATCTTTTTTTTCTCTCTGTCTCTATTGTAATCGAGATCTTTCTTGACAATCATTATCCGAACATGACCAATATTGACGTTTTGCCGTCTTTTGGCTCCTTCTTTTTTAGACGCCAATCTCTTTCTCTCAATGTTTTATTTGAACAGAAAAAAAGGCGAGAAACAGAGAGATATTTGCCTACTTTTAATTATTCGACGACAAGTAGAGAAAGAAATGTCAACAAAGCAAATCTCACAATTTCTTTAATGGTGCCTACCTAATAAAAATGCTCAGTCGATTTGATGGTGATCGAACAAGGTCAAAATAATGCAGGAAACGGATGTTCAATAGCACACAGTGAATACTGACGAATAAAACACAAGCAGAAATCATTTGAAATTTTGATTTTTTTTTAGATTTATGTATTGTTATAAAACTGAATTATTATTTAAAAAAAAAAATTAATTAATGACATCTGGTTTTTGTTTGTAAATTGTCATCATATTTTTTTTTTTGCTGAACAGATGTTTTATTTCGAATGAAATAAAAACATTTAATTGTATTTCATATGATATAACAAAAATTTACTTTTGGAAACAATTCCAAGAATATTTTGAGCTTTATTAATGAGAGAAAGTTATGAGAACATGTTAATACATGTCATGAAAATTAAATACTTGATCAATGAGAGAAATTCAAAATTTGAAACAAAAATTTCTTTGTTAACCATTCTATGCTATTGCAAGAATTGAAAAATTTGAATCAAAGATTACATATTAAAGAGCTTGTTTTTGATAGATTAAGTTTTAATATTCAATTCGAAAATTTTATCTGTAAGCATTACTATTCAGTTAAATTGATTAAGATAAAACGATAAACGATTTTTTTGGTTTTGAATTTCAATAAAACAAAGTTTACACATTTGAAAATAGTGCATATAAAAAGAAAATCATCTTGCTTTATTTTTGCATGACTTTGAGCAGTTAACATATTTGTAGCTTCTTAGTATATAACTTCAATCGAACTCACGTTCAATTTAAACGATATTATTCGTTACTGATGATTTTTAAATGGAATTGATTGAGACATTCACTTGTTGTTAAATCATGTGCTAGATCTCAAAAATTTTTATCGATGGAAAGCAGTATTCTAATAATGCTATGTCGTATTGGAAGATTAATGTTTTATAGATACATACAAAGAAACATTCCGATGTGTCTATTGGTTTTTCATATCCTGAAAAGAGTTCATGTTCGTAACTTATTTCTGTCGAAATATTTCATTTTTACTACATTTTTGTACCACAACGCATTGGTCGCTATCAGGGTCATATGAAAAATCAATTTTTGACTTAAAAATTTGCATTAAGAATGTCTCAATGCGATTTGTTAATTCTGAAGATTTCGAATGTTTTGATTGCTCCTATCCGAAAGAAGCTGTTAGCGTAATCCCCGCGGCACTAAAATGTAAAACACAATGTAGCTGCTGTTGTTAATCACAGATAGATTGTTTCGTTCTGTCTATCTTGGGACACATATTTTTTTCACCGTCATTTTACTTAATCCTTCAGAAATAAAATAAGGAAGTAGTTGATATATTGTAACGAGCCATTATTAATATACAGTCTTTAACCGTATATTAACAACGTCGGTCACGGGTGTGGGAGCAAAAGGAGGGGACGGAACAAATTTCTATCCTACATACTTCAACACTTCTTATGTGTTAATTGATAGGAAAAAAAAATATTCGATCTTCTACTCGTATCTAAGAATAGAAGACATTGAGAAGTTTGAAATCTTTAAAGTAAATTAATTGCATAGAGACTTTTTTTGTCGGTAAAAAGTTTCAAAACGAAAATCGAATTTCAAGTGATCTAGTAGGAGGTCATGATGTTGTGCTAAAAAATGTAATAAAAATTATATATCTTGACACAAATAAGTTATGAACATGAACTGCTTTCAAGACATTGAGAACTCATTAAAGTCTACGGAATGCACATTAGCTTGATTTGAAAGCAAATTGACATATGGAAACATTTCCTTATTAGCACAAACTCGTTGAATTCATCTTTCTGTCGTCAACATGTTCATAGGCGTTTGTTTTTCAACTCATTTAGTTTTACTTCTCGAGGTCAAACAAAAATAAAACTTTTTTTTTTTTTAAATATAATGTATCTCTATTAAATATAAGAGAACAATTTCCATTTGAAATCTTCATTCAATAATAAAAAACAATAACTATGAAAATGTTACGTAATTTTTTCAAAATTAATATGAAGGACATATGTATTCTTCCAAAGACGAAAACTAAAATTTTCTTAACTTTTTTTTCGGTTTTTCATTAACATATAGACACTAAAATATTTTCTAAATGAAAGAAATTCAATCTTTTCGTTTTGTTAATTTTGTCTAGAAATCAAATTTTGAAAAAAAAAGAAATTATCAGAATGATCCATGTTTCTTCAATGTAATAAGAAGAATCGAGTCGACACTGTTTTCATAGATACTACACATTATTTTTGGTATGGATGCTTTATTTTAAAATATCACTCGAATGATCTTTGGCGGCTTTTTAAAAATTTGATTTTTCTATTCGAAGAATCAATAATATAAAGCAATTCATGTAAAAATACTAACTCTAAAAAGTATTCATTATCTATAAAAAAAAAATTGTTCACTAGGTCGAACACAGTATTTTGAAGAAAAGGGACACCAATCTGATTAATTATAAGTCTTATATACATGATAGAAGACAGCTTTCAGAAACTTTAACTTAAGTACAACTGTCACTTTACTCATCACAATCTATTTAGTCAGAAAGTTTCAAATATTTCTAATGAAATATTCTTCAAAAATCCTTGAGAAAGATCAAGATTGTCGGTATTTTTTAGGAGTGAAAGAAGCTGATAATTGTCGCAGAAAGTATTCTCACTTGTGAAGTGTCAGAAGTGGTGAATGAAACTCAGTGTGATTGGACTCCTCCTACAGCAGACGACTTACGACCAGTTCGTCCTTTCCCAATCCTACTTTTTTCGTAACGACATCGCCTTCATACTTGTATTTGACTTTCTGCCAGAGAAAGGCAAATGATGTTTCAAAATACGTTCTTTGTTCAAAGTTACCACTATGCTGTAAAAAAGTGGCAGAAGTATTAACATTTTTTTTTAGAAAGTCGGAGATGTTGGGTCTCTCTTAGTCGAGAAACTGGGGTAATGACAGTACGCACATGTTTATGTAATTCGAGATTATTTATACAAATAATTAAAACTTTATTTTTATATTGTCAAATGTTGATAATTCTTCATTATTTATTAACAGTAAAAATAGATAAAATAAAATACTATTCCTTATGCAGAAAAAAAAAACTGCAACAAATCTGAAGAATCTCTTAATTTTTATCAATGCTCACAATTTTATATTGAACTCCATTGATAACTACAACTGAACCATCGAGATTATTTGCATCTAGTTGATTACTTGATGATGATTGATCTTCAGTTGTATTTATTGTTAACACTGGTTTTGATGAACTTTCTTTGGATTCTTCTTTTGATGGAATTGATGATGTTGATAATTCTGATGTTATACTCGAAGTGGATGATACCATTTGATCAATATCGACTCCAGTATGTTGTTGAAATAAATTTCGTAATTGTTCATATTCTTCTTTTAATGTTTGTAAATTTCTTAGTAATATTTCATTATCTTCTTCTAATTGATTGATTGATTTCATTGTTTTTTCATGCTCACGACGAGTTTTTTCACGTGATTTTTGAACACTAATATTATTCAACTGACGCTTGTGTTTATAATGTGGATCGACACGTTGAACAGAACGACGTTGCATTGTTATTATGAAGAACTATCGATTAACAAAAAAAGCAAAGAATAATTTTCTGATTCGAGACTTTAATAGTTAGTTGATGTATGATGACAGATCGGATTTCATTGGTTGATAATGACGCATGAAATACACAAAAAAATTGAACGAATTAAAATTATTATTAAGTTTTCCTTCATTAATCATTGTTCTTCATGTTGGAAAGTTAGGTGATTAATTAAAATTACGTCAATTGTCTTTGAAAAAAGTTCTTTGATAAAGTTTTGAAAAGGAAAGCAAGTTTCGATATTTAGTGACATCTTTCTTTCCTAGGCTTTATCTTCACTAGAAAAATAATGCTGCATAAGCTTCGTATTAAATCGACATGCATTGTCACCTAATATTTTGATCCATATTAGTCTTGGTTTGATAACACATAAATCAACTATTAAAATTTCATCCTAAGAAATTTAATGTTTCTAGTTATATACCTCGTAAAAACAATTGTTAAAAAACAACCTTCTTCATTTCTATTTTTGAGTTTATATTTCAGTGTAATTTGTAGTGTATGATGTCAAGTACTTGCCATTATTAATACTTATAACGTGACTTCGTCGAGGCACATTCATTATTGTAATTAGTCAAGTAAGTTTTTTTTCCATTCGCTCATTAAGTTCAATTCGCCTCTTAACAATGTATTAAATCTCTATTCAGTTTTCGACCAATCATGTTTCTTAATTTAGCATTAAGTTTTCTAATAAAGACAAACTCCTAGCTTGGAATTAGAGTAATTGCCAATCATCTACATGTTTTTATCATTAACACAATCTACATGAAGCATTAATTATATGATTATTTACGAGAAAAGCATTTGATAGATCAAATAACAACTTTTCATTACTAAAATATTTTCTATAAATTAGTAACAGAGTTAACTCTTGTAAGATCCTTTCCGCAGTGGGACGTCCCACTGTTGGAGGAATGATGCGCCAAAAGTAATAGAAGACGTCTTCTAATTAATTGATTACTCGCTAAATCGGAAGTTGAATCAGTGTATTTACATCAAAACATGCTTAGGTTTTAGAGCTTTCAGCTAAAAAATCTTAAAAAATTGAAGTCCATATTATCTTTAGATTTTGAAAATCATAATAATATCTTCCAAAACTTTTCAAATTATCAAAATAATAGAAGATCTCTCTGAAAATATTTTAGATCTTAACAAAATAGAAGACACTGGGTCCTTTTTTGCGGTTTATGCTTTAATCTCGAACAATGATGGACAATTATTATATAAATATCATTTCACTAGTCGCTTAATTGCTTGCCGATTGCATATTACTACCGTTCATCACTTTTCCAATTCTAAATAGTAACTAAAATCGTTGTTAATATATGCTCAACATGTAAAATAGTTGTGTACTATTAATCGAAAAAGAAAACATTGAAAAGCATTAGTCAATTTTCAATTAACTCAAACAACTGAAATATAATCATTAAAAACATTAACAATTCAACCTCATCTTTCAATATCTCACATTTCAACAAAACGATTTTATTCATGGAAAAAACATACCTATCTATATAACATGATTTTATCACTATGAATCTTATTTATCAGATTTATTATAGAAGAATATAACGATTAATCATACTATTATCAGATTAACTAGTTCAATCGACAAATTACAATACTCTTTTCAGAATTCAAATAATTATATTCTTAAACAATATTATTTATCTAGTCTACGATGCATTATTATATGATATGGGATTATATCATTCTTTATTGAGAATGTTAATCTTTAACAATTTAATATGTTAATTACACAATCAATATATATACCAGA